TGCTACAGAACTGTAAGAAGCTGGGCAGGTATCTGGAGTTGTGGGATGCATCAGAAAGGTGGTGGTGGGGAATAATTTCTTCTTAATGTGAAGAATTGTTATCTTATTAGGCAGATCTTCCTTTTTCTCCAGAGTTCTTGAACTGTTTACCTTTTCAGAGGCTGCCCCTAATCTGAGCTGGTAATGGGGATGGTCTAATACCAAAAGTGGCCAAGAGCTACAGTTCTTCTGTTGATGTTTTAAGTTCATCATTAGGACTATAAAGAGCAACACCTGCAGTCTCCAAAGAGAAAGGACTACTCTTCCTCCCTTCTAGAGAAGATTGTCCATTCTGTTTGTCATATTTTGAGAATCCCTGATACTAAAGATGGATAGTATGCAACAGCAGGAGGTTTACTGTTACAAGTCTGCAATGAATCTGGGAGGGAGAAGATTTACAGTGGGTAACATGAATATTTAAAGCTTTGGGTAACAGAAGTCAATGTTATAAGACAACGTTACTAAAATGTGGGATAAAAGTCTGTAGAACTTGGTTTAATATTTCTGATGTTTTGCTGTTATCATGGGATCCCAGTTTCTGCCCATGTATTGGTGCATAGGAAAATGTGGTATCTTCTGAATATGAAACAATAATTACCTTGATGTTAAAATAGAGGTGCTGTAAGGCAAGACTCCTGCCTGGTTGCAGAAAATGCAGGGAATTGAGAAAGTCCTGCAGTGGACTAGGATAGTAAATAATTATGGGAAAACACTTCCTATATGTCCGGTGTACCCTTGGTCATAATCTAGGTGCCATGCAAGCCACAAGATGCTACAGAAATATCTTCTAGTGAAGGCAGTTATTCACTTGAAGTGTGAGACTTGCCCCTTTGTAATCCAGTTCTTGGGTTCAGAAGTCCAAGCACAAAATGACCATTCAAATCTGAGGGTGCTTCAACAAACAAATTTTTTTTTTTTTTTTTTCACAGATTCATATCTTAGGATGCAGGTAGGGTAAGAAGGCTAGGAGGTTCTTTCCAGTTATGTCCTAGATTGACAGCAGTGATATTACCATGAACTGGGTTTTTATTAGGGTATTCTGTCAGCATTGTTACAGGGTTGTTTTTCCTTTGGGCAGTTGAGGGGAGGAGGTTTCCCTCCAGCAGTTGCTACCAGATGGCAAGTACTGCTTGCAATGCTGGGCTAGGTTTACCTCTGCTCCATTTCAAGGTGAGTGTTATATTCTTAGGTTATTCATAGGTGTGGCAGATTGCTACTTTCAAATGCATCCAAAAATGACCGAATGTCTTGAGGAAAAAATAAATACTGTTTTCAGGCTTTCTATTTTAACTTTAAGTATAGTTCTTACTACTTAATCAGATTTAAGGTTTTTGTCTGTGTCCTTACTATGTACTCATTTGAGCATCTTCAGGAAAGATGTAGAACTCTTCTTTTTACAACTCTCTCTGTATTTAAACCAAACTGTTTCTGCATTTCATTTAACAAAGCGATAGTCGTCTTGTTTCTGTCCTAATGCAAAAAATTCCACTGTGGACAGTACATTGCTTGAATGTCAAGAATGCTATCTTGGCCAAGCAGTTGAGTTTGGGATCTAGAGGTTATTTATCTTGCAACCAAGGATTTACTGAAAAAAGGTCAAACTGCCTTCTAATAGAAATATCAAAATGGATTAAGAAGCTGACTAGAAAGAGAATATGGAAGGAAATACAAGATGAATTTAAAGGTTGTTTTTACCATGTGGAAGACCACGGGTATTCCCGTGATGAGGCTTTTTATGTGAAATGGTTTGATACATTGTCTGTATTAGAAATTCAGCATCTTAACTTGTGCGGACTGATCATGTCTGTCTTTTTTTACTTCCTGTGTACTTCTGTATATGATGATAACACATACCCATAACGAATCCAATGAAGTGCTTTAAAATCTACGGGATGAAGGAAAACAACTGTGTTCAAGCAGATGCAGAAAAGCAAGCAGGATCCAGTTTGTTTGCTGCTTTACCAAACCTCAATGACTAAATGAATTTAAAATAACATTCAGATTTCTGCACAAAACATGCTTGTATTACACAAAAAATATTTCAAACTTGTAGATCTTTTTTTGAAATTTAGTGATGAAAATAAGTTCTGAGATTGCTTTTGTCATAAAATACAGTATATTGTGATAATTTGTTATGCCTTTCTGTTACAGATTAACTAAACTCCAGATATTGGAACTTAGAGAAAACCAGTTAAAAATATTGCCGAAGTAAGTATGTATGAAATTTATTTAAAATACTTTGGAGGGTTTTTTCTGTAGTTATAATGTAGTGCATATCAAAAAGTAGATCACAGTTTAAAACGTGTAGCTAAGTAACTGGACTAACTTCTCACAAGGAACTTTCCCTTCATACTGCTGAAATTCTCTCTCTCTTCAGACTCGCTGGTCTTCCTATTCAGAGATTTGCCTATTCAAAGATTTTATTTTTTTTTTTTTTTAAATTCTTTCTGTCCTCCAGTTCTAGATTTCTGATCCACCTGTCAAGCTTTTAAGTCAGCATGTGGACACTTCAGGATGATTGTTCTGAGGTGTCTGATGCTTTTTGCACACAGCATTGTATTGGTGCCCAGATGCCTGTCTGGCTACTGTTCTGATGGCTGAGTGCCTGAAACTTAGGCATTATCTCTAAAGCAAATGTGGAGTTTGAGATGCTTGCTCAAAATGACTGAGGGAATGTGATTCACATGATGTGAACAAATTTTTTTCCACTTTACTTTCTTCAGCAGTGAAGTATATTAAAACTCCTTACTGTGTTGCACAGTCTGTTATGCAACATGTATTCTATAATGCAACAGGCTTGTTTAACATAATGGAAGCATATTAGTCAGCTGTGTTTTCTATAATTGTAAAATAGTTACGGAAATTGTTATAGTATTTGTTTTAAATGCAATTGTACTTATCTCTTAAAATCTAGCACCTTTCTAAGCCGTTTTGCAACTCTCACTCATTTCATCAAACCCACGTTGATGGTGTTGCAGTTCCTGCTGTTTCTATGAGCTAGAGCAATGCTCTGAATTTTCTGACTTGGACCCTGGAGTTCTAAGTGGGTTAACAGAGGTATAAAAGGTCAATGAAGAGAGAAACAGAGATCCCAAAGATGGGATGTGAATAGCTGTAGAGTCCTGGATATGTTGTGGTGTGCAATGAAAGGGGTCCTCCTCTGGCAACAGACACTGATAAAGAGAGGTACTGGTTTCAGATGTTTTGGTGGAGAAGAGGGAGGTGCTAACAATTGAATATTCATTCTGTCTAGCTCATATGCTAGCAGAGACTTGCATGCAGTAGGCTGAAGTGTGAGTTACCAGCCCTTTTAAGTACACCAGCCAGCTTTTCTAGTGACTCTAGCTAACTATGTGCCTAAGATGTGAACAAGGGGTGTGTTCCATTGGAATTCCCTTTTTGTGTGCCTAGATACCGTACTGTGGTGTCTGCTGTATAAAAATGACAAAACTTGCATCTGGAATGAAATGTATAGCATCAGAAAGCGTGAATTTAAATCTTCCAAGTGTGAAACATTCTACTTATTCATGTGATATAAATACTCTCTGTCCTTCTTTGCTCTTTCTGCTACTGCTAATTTTCAGTAGAAAAAAAAAATAGAGGACATATAATTTGGGGTAGTAGCTCTGTAAGTTACTGCCAACTGAGGAACAGTAGCTATAATTAAAATTTATAGCTAATACAGATTTTGTTTATAAAATTACTCTGACCTTAATTGCCGTAATTAACATCAATAGTATGAATTACATGCGATTTTTTTAAAGAGTAGTTTACAGAGGTCTCTTGTAGTGATAAGAGACACTTAAATAAATGCTGTAATATATTTAAGCCAAACACTTCTGTTGAAGTTGCTGGGAATTTTTTTGTTGACTTCAGTGTTTTCAGGGTTTCATCCTTGCTGAAAAACTAAACAGCAGCTGTCGTGAAGATGTCCTCTGCAGCAGCTCCATAATGATCTACAGTACATGCTGAGATGACACCTTTATTGTTCTCTTCTGGTACTCCTGTGGCTCAATTAAGGGAGATTAAGCCATTGAGACTACTTTTTTTTTTTTTTTTTTTTTTTTTAATTTAATGGCATTAATGTGCGTTTTGCTACAGTGAGGCACTGGAAACATACATTGTTTATGTAGGATGTACACTGGGGAGAAAAAAATTGTGATGTCCATAGTATGTAACAGGTGAATCTGCCTTTCAGGATAATACAACCATGCAGCTGTTGCCCTGACCTGCACAGGCGTCCATGGCCTGGCTTTAGCTATTACATTAGAACAGAAGCTGATGTGAAACTCGAACTTACACAGTTTTCCAAACCTGAGTATGTGTTTTAAAAGGAACATACTATACAGCTTTAAACCGTGTAGAAAATCTGAAGGATTCTTTTTGAATCATAGAATCATAGAATTGTTAAGGTTGGAGAAGACCCTTAAGATAATCGAGTCCAACCGTTAACCTAACACTGCCAAGTCCACCACTATACCATGTCCTCGAGCACCACATCTATCCGTTCTTTAAATATCTCCAGGGATGGAGACTCAACCACTTCCCTGGGCAGCCTGGTCCAATGCTTGATTAGAGCTTATCCGTGGCCAGAGACTGCAAAACTGGCAGTATTATAATGCAAACCAGCTCAACAAAAATATTTCTACTGAAAGGAAAGCAAAAAATATGCAGAGACTGTTTTAGAGGCATTTATCTGATAGGTAGCTGAAAGTTGGGAAAATGGTTTAATGCAAATATAAAAAGTTTTCTTTTTGATTTTTTTTTTTAAAGCTTCTATCTGTTGTCCAGTTGTCAATAGAATAACCTTTTTAGAAAGGAGCAAGTTATTTGAAGGTATAATTACGATGATTCAGGGCCCTATCTTGCCTATCCCTCACACCTCTCGAATTGTATGCTACTTGAAGTAAGCAGTATTGTTACCCTTAGTGAAGTTGACTCTTTACAACATCAGAATCTGAGGCATAATTTAGACTACCTGTTCTGTTAGTGTTGGATTGATTTGACAGCAAGTTCATTAATATGAATTATGAAACAGATTTTTCAGTTTATGAAAGGGATTACATAATGTTGTGGCAGAGATAGAAATAGGTGTAACTCAGTGATCTAGTAAATTTTTTGTTTCCAGTCCTGTATTCCTCTTTATAGAGCATTGAATTTTCCTGTTACTTCAACATTTTCAGTGTATGAGAAGCTTTGTTTGCATTTTGTCTGAAGGTATAGTTGCTCTACAAACAATATGGAAAAGCAAAGATATATTAGTTTTAGGAAACATTGTCATAAAATAGCCGAAAGTGCTATAAATTAGGCAGGCAGTGGGGAAGGGGAGGAAAATAACTGAGGCTCTGGTCTTGCAAACAGAGAGAGAGAGTGTGTTACAGTTTACAGTTGAGTGGCTATGTTTGCTAGATTAGAGACATTTGGGGGGGGAAGAAGGCATAAAATCAGTAAAGTTGCTTTGTTATACTGTCAAAGTTATGTAACATTAATTTTGCAGATATTTATTCTGGTTCCAAATGGTAAGGCCAGGGCCCTTGGTGGAAAAACTTTAACGGTTTTTTTTTGTGGGGGGTTGTTTTTGTTGGGTTTTGGGGTTGTTTATAATAATAATAATTTCATAATTTATCTGTATTGAAACTAATTTGTCAAATTCAGTCCCACATAGCTGTGATCTCCCTTGATCTGCTTTTTGAGGCTGAAACAGATTGTCAGTGGAGTTTTGGACTGCTGTCTCTAGTAGCCCACAGTCTAGCTAGCATAGCTTGAAAACAGAAGAAACGGAAAACCTTTTTAAATTGAAGCCATCAGTAAAAACAGATTATGGTGTTGCCCACAAAGTTTTGAAAGATACAGAATGATACGCTAGATCCTTTGAGTATTCAGCTGTGCTTCACAGACGCATTGGGGCAAATTTATTCACAGCATATGGCACTAAAATTGGTATTGGCATGGTCTCATAAAGCTTTGAGAAATTCAACTTATGCAGTATTTCAGAGGGACTTAATCTGTTAGAATTTGGAAAATTAATTTTAGCAGTTGGCTTATTGTTCATCCTATTTATGAGCTTTGAGAAATGAGGGAAAATGTTTCTTGGATTCTTCTGGAGGTAGCATTCTCATGGGTTTGTTTGGTTTTTTTCTTCTTTGAAACTATGGGAATGTAAGTTAAAGGCTTTCCCCTAAAGCCTGCGTATACTGTGTGTGCAGTGCAATAAAAATGGCTTCTGCTTTTGTCTTGATCACGTCTTTACTTATTTATGCTAAATTCCTAGTTTGTCTCTAGCATGATTACTATAACATAATGAAAATCAAGTCTATAGATAGATGTTGAGTGTAATCCTTTTTGGAGATTATTTCATGGATAATATTAATAATCACTTAAACTTACTTTCAATGAATAAGGCATTTTTCAGTAGAATGTAATTTTTGAACTGTATATTCAGAATAACTAATAGTGTAAGGTCTTTGAGAACAACTGGAACTTTGAATATCTGCATAGAGCATCTTGTGCTCACGCAGGTGTTTTTTAAAGATATTAGTGTTCATACTTATATTCTGATAATACAAAAGACACTCCCAGTTAGAAGCTCTTATTTAGTTTTTCCAGAATTTTATAGTATGTACACACTTATGGTTTATATTTGAAAGTTTTTAATGTATTAATTGTTTTACTGAAAGCTAGTATTAAATAAATACAGAACATAATGTCATATGAGGGATTCACAGCCCCTTTGAAAATATTTTTAGGTAGTACTGCTGTTGACCAATTGTGTAGACAACCATGTGCAGTGGTAGATATTCTCTATGGGGTCCCCAAAGTAAACTTAAATGGAGGAAAAATTTTGCCAAAACACAGCTTGAAAGAATGGATTTTACTTTGTCATTGATTTAATCTTTGCCCTAAGCTGGCTTGAAGAGTACTGATGTGTCATGAAATGCAATTTAGTAATCTGCTTTGTTGTAGAACTAGAGGAATAATTAGGATTCCAGACCATATCATATGGAAGCAACTTTGTCAGCAGCCTGGAGAAGGGAGAAAGGTGTTGGTGGTTACTGTGATTCAACAGTGGTCTCTTGTGGTTTATCTAATCATTAGGCAGTGGTCTTTCTTTGGGAGGGAAAACATGTAGTTAACCAGCCTGTGGCTGCTGAGAATGCTGATTATGACTGGAGGTGAAAAGCATTCAAAGGACTGTAGGTGAAAGGCACTCAAAAGAAGAGTAACTTCAGAGTTACTCTTTATCATAAGGATGACTCTAGTGGTCTTTAGTTTTTGTAAACTAATCTGTAGATGAGTTGCAGTGTACTCTTTGTATGACAGTCACAGTCAGCATGATCATTAATGTGTGCCTGGCTGAACAGTGTGTGAAAATTTGACCTTATTTAGATATCAGTCTAGTAATGGAACATCATCACTACTTAATACTGATTAAAATAATATATTTTTATGAATACAGGAAGATTGGATGTAACTGGTATTCTCTTAAATTAATTCCTTATTAATCCCCTTCCTGTGCAGAACCATGTCCAGACTGACTCAGCTGGAGAGACTAGACTTAGGAAGTAATGAATTCACAGAAGTGGTGAGTTTTGCCAAAGTAACAGGGCTTTGTATCTTTTATAAATCTCTTTATCCTTTAATGTATTTTTAATCAATATGAAAATGTAAAAATCAGCTTTAAGAGTTTTGCTACTGAGCAAATATTATGTATACCTTATACTACTTTATAGAGCCTGTTATTAAAAATTATGTGCATATTCTTATGAATATAAGTGTTCTTCCTCAATTTGAAAATAAGTGTGGTATAGTGTGGCTACATTACTGGTAAAAAGTTAATGGTAATGTGTTTGAATTATAAACATAATCATTTGACTTGTAATAAATTCTAAACACTTATTGGTCATCATGTATTTAATGTTGCAAGTTCTGTATAAGCTGTTCATAACCTACTTTTACTAGTTTGTACAAACTATTTAGATCCAAAGGAAACTAATTATAAGTTTGAATATTATTGTTGTTGTTGTTTAGTAGTAGTAGTAGTATTTTTCCTTCAACATGGATCAGCTTGTTTCCTGTTCATGATGTCGGACAAATACGTCTTCCATTTACAATCACTTAACATCCCTCTGCTTCTATAAGTACTTTCCTGTATAAGGGAATTGAAATAGAAGTGTAGTGGAACATACTGACCTGCTGTATAACAAAGTCAAGCCTCTGTGTGCCACCAGTAGGGTACTTCATTAGCCACAGATCATGCAGAGCTGAATGCTTGCCTAGCTGTATGGTTTGGCAGATAGGGAAGTGTATTTAAGGAATTGTTCTTTAGTATTATGCTTCTAGCCGTTACCGGTACTGCCATATTATCATTACACTGTGGATATTCATGTGGGAGCCTTAAACTAACATGCTCAGGCCTACATTAAGCCATAACAGCCAGGAGCTAAGTATAGGCTGTAAAATTACTTGTTTGGGTATATTTTTGGCTGATTGCTTCATCTCTACCAGCCTTTGATCTAGAAGAGTCAACTACTGGTAACTTATTTCATTAAGATCTTTTGGTAAAAGTACAGAAAGGTTTGAAACTGCTTTTTGGGTAAAGATATGTCTGAAAGGTAGTATTCAGTTAGGATTTTTCTCTTGGAAAATTAATTATTGGGAGCCAAGACTGCAATTTATGCAGGAATACTGTATACTTACAATATAACAAAATTGAGTTCTGTGTTTAACTGAATTTGGTTGTAGTTGTTAAGGCGTGGTAGCACCTGTTTTGTATTACTTTCTCAGGAGGGAAGTGTAACTAGGAAAGCGTATGCAACATAGATGTTTACCAAGATGTGGTCTTTCCCTGATACACAAGATACTTCTAACATTAAGTTGTAGTGAGAGCATATCCTGTACTTTATGGATAGAGTAGTTTGCTTGTATCAGGCAGATGCACCCTTTGCTGCTAGAAAATTAAAATTTGTTTCCCATTTCCCAAAAACCACAAAAACTTTGTGGTTTTTGAAAAACAGCTCCTCCGAGTTGATGGAATTTAAGGGTTTTTAGACCTCCGTGATAGGGAGAATTATACACATAAGATTTATTTATTGTGTGCTCCAGTTGAAAAATACTACTTTCTGTATAAAAAAAATGAATGCTTTCTGTAAGGATTATTTAGTGCTGTGATCAAGCTCAAAAGATTTTTGTATATCTAGTATGTATTTACATTTTTTAAAAGTGAATTATCTGGGTTTTATTTGACCCAATGAAACAGTGTATATAACAGCTATAAGACATTACTTAAAGTTGCAATAGATGAATCACTGAAGTTGTTTTTGCCTTTTGCTATTTTTGTATGAAGTTCTTAAAAAAACTGTTTCCTTTACAGCCTGAAGTACTTGAACAACTGAGTGAGTTAAAGGAATTTTGGATGGATGGTAATAGACTAACGCTTATTCCAGGGGTAAATCCTTTTACTGTGTTTTAGTATTTTAATTTACAGTGGTATTTGTTTTGTCAGCTATCATATATGCTAAAGTTTCTGTATAATTTTAACATTACTTAAAGCCAAAAGGCAAAATGCCACTTAAATGCTTGACTAGTCTACTTAGAAATTGTCACTGATCATGAGAGTTGGGTACACAGCTTTTCTTTCATTGAAAGTTTTAATCTTCTCATCTAAAAATTATGTTCCAATTTAGGAAAGGGGTAAAAATCCTGTGTCAAATGCTGGATGAAATATTTAGGGTTGACTGGTCCTTCCAAAAAGGAATTATTTTGTGTTAGACAGCAAGCAGGAATTTACGGGATAAATATGTAGTGTGAATTTTTACTGGTCACAGCTGTAAAACAAGCAATGACCATTCAGAATTTTTTTGTTATGTATACACAGAGTATAGCCAGTTCCTGAGAAAATGTTCTGTTGACTAAAACCAGGTTTTCCTGACATCTTGGAACTATATGAGGTCCAGGATGATCTATTATTGCAGCACTTGTGAACCTGTGTTTGTGTAACTAGTAAACTAGTATTTGAAATTTGGGAAGCAGCTGGTCTATTTTCAAACTTAAAATCACTAGCAATCTTCTGATGTGAGGGTTTCTTGTCTCCTCTACTGTCTTTACTCCAGCTAATTCTTCTTTGAAGAAGAGTTGAGTGGATATATTAAACTGTTCTACTCTACAGTAAAAGTAAAACTGTATTTGTGAAAGTAACTGCATTTTCTCTGTGAAGATTTTAGTTGTGTACACAAATCTTTAAGCTTATTCTTGGTTCATATGGAAACATAATACAAACTTATATTTTGGCTTGTTTTTTCAGTTTAGTACAATTAGGGATTCATTGTTGGTTTTGAGGTTAAGTAGGATGCAGTTTTACACAAAAGGCAAAAATAAGCATTAAAAGACTTTACTGGAGCCTTAATTATGTCCTTATGTTACACTGTGTACATCTCTCTGAAGTCTGTTCTAAAGCTTCAGCCATTTGATCACGATAACTGACCAAACAGTTGAATTTACAGCAGGCTGACTTTAAAGACACCTGCAGAGTAACTGTGGTGTCTGTGTGTGGAAAAACATCAACTGTGTGTATCTGCACAAAATATTTCATTATAAAGTTTGAATGTTTTGCATAAAACTGTATTTCAACACTATAAATAGGTTTTCTCTTTTCCCATGGCATTACACTTGAGAGACAATTTGTTGACAAATCTGCTGGCTTTTTTTGTTTTGAACTTCCACTTCCTAGAACGCATTATTTTCTCTTGCTTTTAGTTCATAGGAACTTTGAAACAACTGACCTACTTGGATGTTTCTAAAAACAACATTGAAGTAGTTGAAGAAGGTATTTCAGGTTGTGAAAGCCTACAAGACCTACTCTTATCCAGTAATTCACTTCAGCAACTGCCGGAGTCTATTGGTTTGTATTTTTCAGTTAATTCATGTTTTTAAAAGCACATAGTTTAGACACAGAACACTTGAAAATAGACAAATGGCATTTTAGATCTAAGTTTCAATTGATTTAAAGTACCTGTTTTGGATAAAGCTGTAATGTGTAGATGAATAATGTCGTGGTTTAACCCCAGCCAGCAACTAAGCACCACGCAGCCGCTCGCTCACTCCCCACCAGTGGGATGGGGGAGAGAATCGGAAGGGTAAAAGGGAGAAAACTGATAGGTTGAGATAAGAACAGTTTAATAATTGAAGTAAAATAAATTAGAACAGTTAAATAGGCAAAGCAAAAACCGTGCATGCAAACAAAGCAAAACAAGGAATTCATTCACTACTTCCCATCGGCAGGCAGGTGTTCAGCCATCCCCAGGAAAGCAGGGCTCCATCACGTGTAACGGTTACTTGGGAAGACAAACGCCATCACGCCCAATGTCCCCCCCCTTTCCTTCTTCTTCCCCCAGCTTATATACTGAGCATGACGTCACATGGTATGGAATAGCCCTTGGGCCAGTCTGGGTCAGC